GTCTGGCAGTCCTATTCTTACAAACTAGTGTTCTGTATGGTACTACTTCACAGCTGTTGACAAATTTCTTCCTCAGAAGAAAAGTGCTATGGCTAAAGATCAAGATGATTCAGAGGCCTCCTAGGAGACTGATTGGCTCTTGAAAAAAGTAAAATTAGAAGTAAAAAAGTGGTGAAAGAACATAGATATAGGTGAAAGGGTTAAACAAAAGTAGATGGAGTAGTTTTATGTTTAAGGATACTATAGGAATTTGTTATAGATAGAAACTAAGATGCAGTTGGAAAAGTAATGAGTGGTAGAGCTGGCAGTGATCATTTATGTACTTGAGTCAGGAAAATATTTGAGAATTCATTCAAAGACAAAATTGTGGGGCTAGGGAGATAGCTTGAAAATCTTAAGCCCTGGCCACCAAAACCAGGCATAGTGAGATTCTGTACCAAATAAATAAATAAAAGATTTTTTCTTTTAAGTTAAAAGACAATGGGGCTTAGCGGATTAAAGTGCCTGCAAGCAAGTGTAGGTGCCAGGGATTCGATCCCTGGGCCTGCCATGCCAGCCCCGCCCTTGGGGAGCACTGATACAGCAATTGAGACTGGGCATGGTGGTGTGCACCTTTAATCCCCACTGTTGGAAGGCAGTAAACAGGTGGATCACTACAAGTCCGATCTAGTAATGAGACCCTGAATACCCTGTAGACCCTTCCCTAAAATACAAAATAAATAAATTAATTAATTAAAAGACATATTTGTGAAAATGTGCCCATTGATACGCTGTGACAACAGTGAAGTGTCTAGGATGATGGAACTTGGAAAGGAGGTAGTCAGGGAAATGATACTCTTTGACTAAGATCATGAATGCATTTGGAGGGAAGACTAAGAAAAAAAAAAGATAAATTTCACTGTCACAGATTTTTAAAGTTATAATGCATATACAAGATTTAAATGAAATATCATGTGGGCTCTTGGCTTCAAAAGCTTGATAAGAAAGAGTTTTCAAGGAATGGTATTTGAAACCATAGTGAGAAAGTGATGGTCCATAGAAAGTATGTAAAATGAAGATAGAACCTAAAACAGAACTGTGGGAAGCAACAGCATTAAGAGATACACCAAAAAAAAAAAAAAAAAGGAAAAGGAAGACAAGGCTCTGAAGGAACAACTGAAGTAGAAATGGTTGGAGTAGGGGACTGGGGAGTTGGCTCAGTAGAATAAGCACTTCCCTGCCAAGCGCAGGGGCCTGAGTTCACTCCCCTGTTCAGCCAAAAAAAAAAAAAAAAAAAGGTGGGAGTGCCTTTGCATCGATAATTTGCTAATTTTAGCATATTTAGTGGATTGGGAGATCAGAAACTCAGTTAATAGTAACAATTCAGAAATGACAATGTAGTAAGAACAGTTAGAATCATAGAGCTTGAGTATACCATAGAATTGAATTGTTAATGGAATGAAACAGCTGTGGATATGAGAGAAGAGAGAAGCTAAAACAGGTAGAGGTATTCACCTTAGACAAAAGAAGATATACCACGTTGACTGAGAAATGAAAGAATGGTTGAGGAAAGAGCTAGTATTTCTGGTTTCCATGTATTTAGGTTTTTTTTCTGGTTTCTTTTGTCATTTATTCATTTCATTGCACTGTGGTCAGATAATATGCATGGGATAATTTCTGTTTTCTTGCATATACTTAAGCATGACCTATGGACCAGTAGTTGTCTATTTTAGAAAATGACCCATGTGCAGCTGAGAAAAATGTGTATTCAGCTGTGTTTGGATGAAACACTCTGTATATGTCCACTAAGCCTATTTGTTTCAAGCTCTGGTTCAGTTCTGTTATTTCTTTGCTATTTTTTTGTCTGGTTGACCTATCTTTTTGGAATAAGGGGTTGTTAAGGTCCCCTGTTAAGATTGTGGTATTGGATATTACATTTTTCATGTTCCTTAAGATTTGCTTTATATAGTTGGGTGCTCCCATGTTTGGTGCATACATATTTATGAGTGTTACCTCTTCCTCTTGTATTTTTCCCCTAGCCAGTATATAGTGGCCTTCTTTAGTTCGCTTCATTATTCTTGGTTTGAAGTTGAGACTGTCTGATGATAGGATTGCTACCCCTGCTTTTTTCTGAGGTGCTGGGGCGTGTAGTATTGTTTTCCATCCTTTGATATTCAGCCTATGATTGTCTTTATGAGTTAAATGTGTTTCTTGTATACACCATATTGTTGGATTTTGTTTCCTAATCCACTGTTCCAGTCTATTTCTCTTAATTGGTGAATTGAATCCATTGACATTGATGTTTATAATTGAGATGTATTGACTTGAGATTGACATGTTATTTACCTGTTGCCGTTTACTCCTTTTTCTCCTGTGTTTAATTGTTTGTCCTATTTAGTTGGTTGCTTTTGATCTCATTCATGGAGTTCTGATCATTTTGGTCCCTCTCTAGAACATCTTTCAGGAGCCTGTGTAGGGTTGGCTTTGTCATCATGAAATTCTTTAGTTCTTTGTCATGGAAGTATTTCACTTCTCCATCAAACTTGAAAGAGTTTTGCAGGGTATAGTAGTCTGGGCTGAAATCTGTTTTCATAGAGGACTTGAAGTACTCTGCTCCATGCTCTTCTTGCCTTCATGGTTTGTGAAGAAGTCGACCGTAATTTGGATGGGTTTTCCTTTGAATGTGATCTGTTTCTTTTCTCTATCAGCTTTCAGTAGATTATTCTTGTGCTCAATTTCTGGGATCTTGACTATTATATGTCTCATTGTGTTTTTAATTGGGTTGAGGTTACTTGGCATTCTGTATACTTCCGTTACCTGAATGTCAGATTGTTTCCTCATATTTGGGAAGTTTTCGCTATTACTTCTGCCCATATTTTTTTAGTGTCATTTGTATTGGCTCCTTCTTTCTCATTGATGCCTATTAGTCTCACATTGTTTATCTTTGCATCGTCTTGCAAGTGATGAATTATTTATTCCTGCATCCTATTTGTTTTTAAGAGATTTTTTCTTACCTTTTCACTAGCTGCACCAGCATCTTCAAGATCTGAAACTCCGTTTTCACTTTCACTTAAACGGTTTTGCAAGCTTGTGATTGAGATTTTAATTTCCTCTGTGTCTCTGGAATCTGTTTCATGCAATCTATTTCTTTCCTTTATTGCTCATTCAAGAAATCATCATTTTTCTAATCTCCTCTACTTTTTAATCGATGTCTCCTATAGAAGCAGTTACTAATTCTTTTACTGCAGAGTTTTTTTCAGATTGGGTTTCCTCCCTATGTTTCTGTAGTTGATTCTTTACTTCAGATGCTGTGAGTTCAATAATTTTTTTTTATTTCAAAAATACCTCTATAACTTTCTGCTGTTGCTTATTTACTTTTGACACTATTAATTCATACATTTGAGCTGAGCTAGTGTCCTCTGCACTTGTTCTGGGTGTGCATTGGGTTTCCTCCATATGTTTCTGCATTTGATTCTTTACTGCAGATGCTATTGATTCAGGGATTTCTTTTTTCATTTCCAGTCTGAGTTCCTCTATACCTTTCTGCAGCTGTTTATTTATTTCAGAAGCTGTTGATTCATTGATTTCAGCTGTATGATTCCCAATTTGTGTTAGTGTCTTCTGCACTTGTTACGGGTTGGTTTGGGTCTGAGATTGCATTTTGCTCCTTCTCGTTGTCATTTTGTATAGCACTCTCTTCTGACCTTTGTTGTAGAGCTTTAGTGCAGTTATAACCTTAGCACCTACTGAAATTCAGGTGCAGATCTACAAAGTTTGAATTTATCCAGCTGTGCCTGGCTTGGGTCTAGCTGGAATGCTCAGCTCCTTCCTTCTGTAGCCCTTGGAAGTGAACCTGTTGTGCCCCTCTGGCAAGATGTTCTGCTCCTGGACTAGCTGGGTGGTTCTGACTCCTACTCTCTCTGCAGGGACTGCAGCTGCAGAGTTTCCCCCCAGGCCTGTATGCCAGGCTTGAGTTGAGTCTGAAGGGGACAAGGTGGAGTAGGGGGGAGAAGAAGGTCTTCCACATACTCACCGGGCCTGGGCTAGGGTGGATCTGGGGGTCCTGAGAACGCAGCAGAAGTTCTCACTCGGCGGCATGGGGCAGGGGCGACTGCAAAGTGGGAGCGTCCCAAGCGGGTGGAAGAGGGTCTCACCCACACTGAGCCTGGGCTTGGACCAGGCTGGACCCACCAGGGCAGGGTAGCTGGAACCTTTTCCACACACTCAAGGAACCACACCTTTAACTGAGCTAGTATTTTTGGAAACCTGCTTTTTTTGTCAGTCATTCTGATTTGTTACTTTATACAACTTTAGTTAATCTTTATAGCAGCCTGTTTTATGTAGAAAGCATTGTTTCTTGCTTTATCAGTAAGGAAATTAAAGCTTATGAAGGATAGGTTGCCTGGGATCATTTGTCTTGTAAATAATGGAAGCTATTTCCCTAAACCAAGTTTGATTTCTTGTGTCCTCCTGCCTCCCCTCCCTTTTCCTGCCCTTCCCCTTCAAGATATGCCTGCAGATAAGTGTTATTCCAGAATCTGTATGAACAGGTGCTGAGTCCTCAAACTGAAATGAAAATTATTTTTCTTATAATTTCTTCTAAAGAAATTCCTTTTTAAAAATTACTGTCTATTAATAAAAGATGTCATATACATACAAAATGATATATCTTTTTTGCTAAACTAAAAGATATCAGTTTTGTTTTGTTTTTTGTATTTAGGGCAGGGTCTACAGGTTCTCACTATGTAGATCGGGCTCAGTGATTCTCCCCTTTTTAGCCTCCCAAGCACTGGAATTACAGGCACACGCCACCATGCCCAGTCTTAGAATTTTTAAGAGATGTGGGAGAACAGGCAGAACCAAGACTTCTGTAACCTTGTAGAGTACAAAAATACTTAAGTATTTGTCTCCAAATGAAACATTTCAGTAATTCATCTCCAATGTGTTAAACTCCACTCTCATTATTTCTTTTTTGGATGTTTTGTAACATAAACATAAAATTTTCTCTTGTTTATTTTCAGGTATCTGCTTTCAAGGAACAGTTTTCATCAGAGGCATGCAGAGAGTTAGGCTTCTCTAGCAACTTGCTCTGCAGCTCTTGTGATCTTCTTGGGCAGTTCAACCTCCTTCAGCTGGATCCTGATTGCAGAGGATGCTGTCAGGAAGAGGCACAGTTTGAAACCAAAAAGGTACAGTTTCTGATATATGGGTTGTATCTGATTGTTTAGAGATAAAGTAAAGCATAAATTGTTTAATCGACTCAAGTGAAAGGAAAATTCTGGCTTTTACATTTCTTTCTACAGTTAACTGATTTTTCCTGGCCCAGTAGATCAGTGAAAGCATATGGGAATGAAAAAGGTGGTAACTTATCAGGATCCCCTTTTATTGTGATTGTCATAGAGAAATGGTGACAAACAATTGTTTATATGATTTTTGTTCATTTATAATAAGTGAGTTTTAGAAAGTTTGATATGAGATGACAAGGCACAAAATTATTATGGACAAATTACAACTAAATTTGGGCAATAATTTATACATATGTTAATTTACTCACCATTAATTTACACATTACTCATTTTATGACTAATTGTGGATACCTAATGTCATTTCTAATGTTTGAAAACCAATACAGAGATAGTAGTTCTGTTCTATAAAATGTTTTGAGGGCCAAGGAGATAGTTTGGTGGTCTAAGTGTCTGTCAAGCAAAAGCAAGGAACCCGGTTCAATCCCTGGTACCACGTGCCATGCCAACCCTGTGCTGAGCTGGCCACCAAAACTGGGTGTGGTGGTACACAGCTGTGATCCCTGTGCTTGAGAGGCTAAGACAAAGGGATCACTACAAGTCTGAGCTGCATAGCAAGACCCTGTACCAAATAAATAAAACATTTTTTTTTTAACTTTTAAGTTTTGAACCTGTTAAAACTAATAATGAATATAATCAGTCTTAAAATCTTTTCTTTAAGACCTTTCAATTTCTGGAAATTTTAGTAGCCTGAAAAGATAATTTATGTTATCCAACTGTAAGTGAATTCAGAGTTGGATGTGCAGCTCCCTCGTAATCACTGCCCTAGCACATACATGCATGGCCCTACAGTCAATCCCTAATACTATCAACAAAACAAAATAACCCTGAATTAGTGATATCCCTGTGTTTGGAAGGAGAAAAAAAATTAGCATCATTCTATTAAGTTTTTATTTAATATTCTCATGCTGGATTCTGTTTGAAGTGTTGCAGTATATAAAACTTCAAACAGTAATTAATGATAATTTTCTTTTTTTAATTTTCTTATGGGCAGGTAGTTAAAATTTATTTCTAACACTGCCATGGTTTGGAGTTTTGCAAGGGGAACAATACAATGCACAACACGTTTTGTAAGATTTATGTACTAGTCACCAATAATACCATATATGAAATGAGAGTGCAGAAAATTGTTCACACACTGTAAAGTCCGAAGAATCCAGCTGAGGGCCTGGACCCCCTCATAACATCTTGCATGAGTCCAGCTGAGGACCTAGAGCTCATAACAATGCCTCCCTCAAATCCAACTGGAGAACCAGAGCTCATGACAATGTCTCATGCGACTGTCTTTACAGAGCTGCATTGGGAAATCCCAAAGGTCAGAAATGGAAGCTACACAGTCTGGGCTAGCAGGCTGAGGGATCTGAATTGGAGCCAGAAAGTGATGCTCAAAGTAAAAACCAGAGCTCCCCCTAAAAGTACCACAGCCATCTTTAGCACCAGTGAGGTCCCAGGCTCATCCAATGCTGAGGAAGCTAAGTTCCTATTAGCAAAGCCAACACACCAAGCTTCTTTAGGAGGCTGAGCTGTGCAGTATCTTCCCTGCGGGAGCCAGAAAACAATGCTCAAAATGAGGATCAGAACTCCCCCAAACTGAACCACAGCCATTCTCAGTGACTACAAGGTCCAAAGCTCCTCCTCTGATGAAAACAGCCAGATTCATCAGGAAAGCCAGCTTGACAAGGTCACCCAGTAGAACAGCCTAAGAGAACCAGCAGCTTCCAGCAGCTCCCCAACAGTTTCTACCAGCTCTGCTAATGGCCTCCTAGTTTTTCCTTTTATGCTGCTGGTACCAATCCTCAGGTGGGCCTTCCATACCCAGTACCATGCTAGTTCAGTTCAGCTGAGTGTAACAAGTTGCCCACCAGTAGGCAATCCACCACAAACACCAAGTACATTTTTATGGTTCTTAGAAGCAGGAAGATATGCTTAGTATTCAGCCCATTTGGTTTCTGAATATCATAACCTTAAAATTCCCAGTATGCCAAAGACTATGGCAGTCTTAACATGAATTTAATTTCTTTGATTTATATATAACAGGGATACATTTTATGTTTAAATTTCCTTACATGTTAGTCTTTACTGTATGCAAATATAATCTTATATAATCTTAAGCAAATTTTAGAAACTTGATTTTAAATAGATTCAAGACAAAAGATATACCTAGTGTAATATGAACCACTTCCTCTGAGATATTCTCTTGACTATATACCACTACTTAATCAATAGTGATAATTTTTTGAGATCCTAAACATGGATTAAATAAGGTTTGTGGGCTGGGGAGATGGCTCAGTGGAATAAGCACTTCCCTGGCAAGCTCAAGGGCCTGAGTTCAATCCCCAGTTCCCCCCCCCCAAAAAAAAAAAAAAATCTGAATAAGGTTTGTTCTACAGTAAGTAGGGTTTATCCTCTATGACATACACCTTTGTAGTTAAGAGTAAATTGAGAATTCTACCCTTTGACTGATATAAAATATGCCTAAAATATAACTGAAGTACATATAGAGGTATTTATTTAAGTACTTATTTTCTCCATACTCCTTCATAATACCCCAATTATGTGGTATAATTTTAATAAAACCAAGTTTGGATCACTTCTAAAATTAATTATATTCCTGTTCATCTTTCACTCTGTATCTAGACCTTTCAGTAGTTATAATTCACCAATTAACATAAAGAAACACATCTGACAGTTGAATGTATGCCAACTAATGAGTTAAAAACATGAGGCTCTATCTTAATAATTTTTTGTACTAAATCCAGTCAAGTTTTTGTTTGCTTTTATCTCATAATATCTAATGTGTGTTTGTCTCCCTCTGCCCTTGGCGTTCTCAAACAAGTTCTGTGTGGTTCACCTGGACTTGAACCTATTAGATAACTAAGGTTGGGCTCAAACTCATGGCAATCCTCTTGCGTCAGCCTCCTGACATGGTGGAATTACAGGCATGCACCTCTGCGCCCACTTCAGGATATATTTATCATCAAGCATTTACTAGCACCTTTTGTACAAAATCAGTACTTTTTGACATAGCATGTTGCACAAGCCCCCTTTAAATGCAAACCACATTTATAGACATAGGGAAAGTAGTACTTTGCAGCCAGGAATGGTGGTGCACACCTGTCATGCCAGCACTCAGGAGGCTGAAACAAGAAAATCTACACTTCAAGATCAGCCTGGACTACGTAGCAAGACCTTGTTAAAAGGAAAAGGTGGGGAAAAGTACTTGATTTAGTATTTATACTGCTGCTGTAGATTATTGGTATATGATCATTTGTAACAATAAAGAAAGTATTCATTCCTGTTTCACTCAATTTAGGCTTAAGCCTTAACTTTTAAGTCATATTTACAGACAACCCTCATTTAATAAAAGTAAAAATCTAACAAACTACATGATATAAACTTACATATATATTATATATGTACTACACTATACTATGTACACCATATTTGTAAAGCACTTGGGCATACTTTAATTTGCGCTATATTTTCTCTATCGTTTTGCTTTTTTCTTGATCTACCAATAAATTTTGAAGTATAAAACAGTATTTTGTCTTGTTTTGTGTTTTGGTTTGCTTTGGTTTGGTTTTGTGGTGTTGGGGATTGAACCCAAGGCCTTAGCATTGAGCTAGGTCCCCAGTCTTTCTATTTTTTGGTTTTCAGTCACTAAGTTGCACGGACTGGACTTAAGCCTGTGGGACCCCCTCCTCCACCCCCGAGAGTACTGCAGTGACAGGCATGTCCCACTACACCTAGTCATCTAAAGTTGTATTTCTCAGTCCCCAGCCTTCAACACACAGTACATTATAAGTTTTTCTCTTTGAATAAAGCTGTTTTTACTAAGAATACATTGGAAAAGGTGGTGTTTTAAAAAGTATGTTAAAAATATACTAGAACTTTATAGCTACTTGATAAATACCTTTTTCATGTATTTCATTTATATATCCTGAAAGATACTTTAAAACTAGAATTAAAAAGAAAAACTGGTCTTCATATTGGCAAGTATCCATTGGAAATGTTCTTTATTTATAATTAACTATAAATACAGACCTTTGTTTCCACATTTTATTTATGAGGATATAAGCATCCCACATCTACCTAAAAAGAGATTATTGGGCACTTCGTAGTAATTCTAGTAAGTAATATATTTTTAACTGAATATCACCATCAGATTAAAATAGATTCTTGGGATTCTCCTAAGGATAAACATTTTTTCCACTAAGAATTTTTCAGTTTGTTTTTTAAGAGGTATAAGGTGAGGTATAGTATTTTAGTGGGAAGATTATTTTTCTCATTTTTATAGTCTTCTTAATTCTATAAATTTTAATTTATTATGCATTGACTTTTCCCCATTTCTTCCGTAATTTAAGGTTTCATAGTTTAAAGACTTCAGCACCTTTTAGATATTTTCTTGCAGAACTTTTCTGATTTTTTTCTTGATTATATACCCCTATTGAGCTTCTACCTTTCTGACATTTCTGGGGTTTGATTTTTTATTTTAACCTTGGTTTAGCAAGATCTTAACAGTTTTTTTTTTCTTTAAATATTTTTATTTAATTGGATTTAGCACTTTTTTACTCTTATTTCTGAAAGACATCTTAAGATCAAACTTGTTGCCAAATCAGAGCACTTCCTAGAAGTAATATATTTAGGTAACTTAATCATCAGAATAAACCAAAAAAATTAACTTAATTTGCTGTTCATCCTGTCTTGATTGAATTGCAGTGAGTTTGATTAGTGGTTAAGGACACTGGTTTTGGAACCAGACTGTCTTGATTCAGATCTTCTCTTAACCACTCAATTTGTGTTCTTGGACAAACCATTTGTTCATTGTGTCTGTCTCCTTATCTGTAAGTGGGGGAGAGTAATAGTTCCTGTCTCATAACGGGTTA